TTGGTATTGGTAACGAAAAGAATTTTACCCACGAACCCTTAGATGTAAATGAGTTGAATGGAAAATTTGTTGAGTTGTCTGCTTGTAATAGAAATATATGTCATGATCGTTACAATGATAAAATTAATGTTGTTACGCCTGGTTTCTGTTTTAAGTGTGTCGATAATAGTGATGTTGTTCAGGCGATACTTGGCACCAAATCGAATGCCACTGGTTTTGACGGTGTTAACCCGAAATTTTTGAAATGTTTACTGCCTAAAATTCTGTCGTATCTTACTTACGCCGACTGTTGGAAAAAGGCCAAAGTCATTTCTATAAAGAAATCTAATGATGACTATAGGCCAATTGCGATTCTACCTTTCTTATCAAAGGTCCTAAAACGTATCATGCATACTCCGATTAATTATTTCATTAATGGTAATTCACTGGTGAGTCAATACCAATCTGGTTTTCGGAAAAACAGAAGCTGTGTAACAGCACTACTAAGAGTCGCAGATGATATTAGAGTAAATATCGACAATAAAAAACGTAGCTTTTCTGACCCTCCTTGATCACTCCAAGGCTTTTGACTCCGTGGATCATGCCCTTTTATGTTTAAAACTTGACAATTTGTTTAATTTTTCACCATGAGCATTAAGGTTAGTCAAAATATACCGTCTTGGCCGTTCGCAAGCGGTAATTGTAAAAGACTCCATATCGAGATCCCTGCTTATAACTAAAGGCGTTCCACAAGGATCAATTCTGGGTCCACTATTATTTGTGTTATATGTTAATGACTTTCAAAATGTCCTAAAATATTTCAATATTCATCTATATGCAGATGACGTTCAGTTGTATCTAGGTTGTCCTTTGGACTCCATCAATGCATGCATAGAAAACTTAAACACTGATCTAGATGCAATTAATATGTGGGCCTGTAACAATGGCCTGGTCTCAATGCATTTCTATATATAAAAAAAACTCAACCTTGATCATTGCAATAATGTAAAAATGAACAATTCTGTGATAAAATTTGTGGACACTGCTAATAAGTTGGGTGTAATTTTTAATAGAACGCTGACATGGAAGAACCATATTTTTAATGCAATCGGTAAAGTTTATGGCATGTTGCGATCCTTATGGAGTATTCAGTACTTCACACCAGTGAAGATTCGACTGCTCCTAGCTAAAACTTACCCACTACCGACACTACTATACGGCTGTGAATTGTATGCTAGCTGTGATAGTGTATGCAATAGAAAACTTAATATCCTGTACAACATTGCTCGGTATATTTACTGCATTGGTCGTTATGAACATATTTCTACTTTTTCCTTAAGGATATTTTCTATTCCGTTCGACGATCTACGGAAACTCAGATGCTTGACATTACTACACAAAATCATAGTCACACAGGATCCCGATTATTTTAAGGAACGATTACAGTTCACCAAATCTTCTACTAAATTTACGTGCTTAGTATCTGAACGTCAGTTTTTTATTATCTCAATCCGTCTTTGGAATACCCTGCCTGCAGCGATTAGATTTTTAAAAAACACGAATCATTTTAAGAACGAACTAATGCGTCATTTTGCCAAATGAATACTAAAGGTCTTGACATCTCTTCATGTCTTCTTCCTCTCCATCTTTCTTCTCTTTTCATTTTATATAACTTTTACCCCTACTTTTTATTTTTATTATTTTATTTTGTATTAATTTTTTATTTTATATAGATGTGTAATTACATGTAACTTTAGGTTGTAAGATATCATACACTGTAAATATAACTATTGGTTGTTGTGTGTGATTAAATAAATAAATAAATAAATGAAAATTAAACTTCTAATTGCACAAACTATTTTTTTTAATGATGTCATCATATTTGTCTGGTTGCGGGTCATTATGCCGTATGAGTGAAGTCGGCACGGGAAGGCGTGGCCCTAGGTGCGTGAAATTTTTTGAGAGTTGTTTTGTTATCAAGTTTCATCTTTTGGGGGGGTGAGACCAATGATTTTCGAATTTTGAAAAATAACGAACGCCCTAATAAGGAACCGGGAAATTCCCCAGAACTTGGTTTCGCTGCAGTGAAGCGACAGAGCAAGTGATGAGAAAATAAATAAAATATAATAAAACTTTGTAATATATCACGCTTTTATAAATGGACTAAAAGGTAGAAAATAATATTTCTTAGTCCCATAGAATTTGTTTTGATAACTTTTGATTTTGAAATTTTAGGAAAAGTCATTATAAACGAAAAAGGTGGAGCGCATGCAATACAAAGAATTAGATTTAATTGACAATAGTCAAACTACATAACATAGACCTAAAATTTCTACAGCGCAAGTACACAATTTGAGATCGATCTTAAGCGATCGTTATGCATATACAGTGAAACCCGCTTAAGTACCCCCCGCTTATATACCTAACCCACTTAAGTATCCAACATTTTTGGGCACCGTGAATATTTTAATGTAATCTGAAGAAAATTCCTCTCTTAAGTACCTCCCCGCTTGTTTACCGAACCCGCCTAAGTACCTAAATTTTTCGTATCCCATATGCCATTTTACTTATAATTTCCCCCTTTTAAGTGCTCCCGCAACACGTACGGCAAAAAATCTAAAAATTCAACGGTAATTTTTAGCCACTTGAAACTTGCACATTATTACACTAAAATTGAATGGACTATAAACAATTCTGAGAAAAAAGTTTGAAATTTTAATGTAAATTTGATGAATTTTTTTCTGTGTTCTACTAAATTTTAACCCAGCAAACATGGTCTCTAACGTTAGAGAAATTTTGATTTCTACATTAGATAACTAGGGTAATTCTCTAATCGTTCACGAGTCGATGACGAAGTTAGAGAACTACATTAGAATTCGATTCGAGAACGATTAGAGAAACAACGCACATTCAATGGTCGGCACGATGCTAAGTTGTGTTATCGACTATCGATTTATAGCTACGATCGTCCTTATTTTAGACAAAAACGCAATTGTTAGAGAAAATTGAGTGCTGCTTCAAAATTTAAAGTAAATACATATAATTATTTCACGTAATAAAATGAATTGAAAGAAATTTAGAGGTGAGAGTGAGCAAATAGTAAATTTACTGTTTGAAAGTAAAAGTGATGATGAGCATCCAGAATGTGAAGCGTTGCTAGGAGAAGAAGAGCCACACGACAGGCCAGGATGCAGCAGAACATTTGATGAGCCAGATGAATTCAGCATTTCTTCAAGCGAAGATGATACGGATGACTGCATTAATGCAAATAACGATTTACGGAAGGACTTGACAGAATGGACTGTTAAACATAATATAACGAACGCACCAATAGATGATTTGTTAAAGATTCTAAGTAAACGCATTACAGGGCTTCCTTTGTGTGCCCGAATTTTGAAAAATACTCCAAAGAGTGCCCCAAAGGTCATAATGGGTTCCGGGGAATATGTACATTATGGGGTTGAAAGTGCTTTAACTGACTTTTTATGTCGAACGGACTTTAGTGGCAATTGTTCCATTGGCAAAAAGCTCTAATACTCAGATATGGCCAATTTTAGTTAACGTACATACATCGGATGACATAAGAGGATACTGCGGGAACAGCAAATCAACAAATGTTAATGAGTTTCTTAAAATATTTGTAGATGAGTTATTAGGGTTGTTGGAAAAAGGACTAGTTTTTAAAGAAATGCGTTATAAAGTTACTTGCCGGGCATTAAATTATTAGATTCAAGCCTTCAAGCTTTATACAGTCAAGTGCCGCGGGAATTTGCTAGACGACCTAGATCGCTGAAAGATTTAGAACGGTTTAAGGCAACGGAATTTAGATCTTTCTTACTTTATTCTGGAATATTCATACTGAAAGATATTTTAGATCCTGTACGGTATAACCATTTCTTACTTCTCAGCTTAAGCATAAGAATTCTTTTGAATAAAGTCTATTATACCAAATATAACACCTGTGCAAGTCAAATGTTAGATAAATTTGTTGAAAGTATGCCCGAATGCTATGATGAAACGTTTTTAACTTTTAATTTTCATTGTTTGACTCATTTGGCCAATGAGACCTTATGGCTGCATTTCTTTATTCATTCTGAACGTTTGGAATAAACTTTTTTGTTTATTTATTCTTTAGAACGTTCCTGATGATATGTTGACGTATATTTCAAACGCATTCTGTTTATTCTGGCTGTGAAATGGGATTATCCGGAATGTATAAAGAAACGCAGCCTATATTTCGGAAGCCTAGAAACTTTCAGCGCATTCAAATTTGAAAATTATTTATCAAAACTAAAGAAGAAAATAAAGAAATGCAAACATGTCGCTGCACAGGTGTACAATAGGTTGGTTGAAAACAGCTTAGCCTCACAAAGTATTGTAACCTCATCATGCGTCTTAAAAAAAGGAAAGGTATTTACTTCTGTGACAACGCCAAACTTCTTCTTTTCCACTAAAGAGCCTGACAATTTCTATAGCTTCAATAATAGTATATATAAATTGGTGGCTATACATGATAATACTGAAGTAAAACTATCATGGAAAGAAGTTCTTAATTTACAAGACTTTTTAGAAACTCCTATAAGGTCAGGGAACCTGAATATCAAATGTTGCAGGGAATTGGAGTTTTCTACCACTAGGCGTTCAACATTCATTACAACAGATATCAAAAATTATAAAATTTAATAATGAATGCGTCAATTTCTTTATTCCTTTTATCCATTCCTAATAAACGATAAAGCGACAGACATGGACTTTAATACCAGTTTTAACAGTGCGACGAACGACACACCAATAACAAGAAAAGGTTAACACTATTTTAAATTAATTAATTTTATAAACATAAACATCTGTTTCTTATACTTTTTT